TGTTAACGAGTCAAATATAAAAATTTGAGTTGAGTTGACTAATTTATTTAGCAAATTGAATAGAATAGTAGTTGTTGAGGTCGCTCTCTTGTCTGTATATGTAAATTTATAAAAGAAACGGAAGAGTTGTTGAGCAGTTGTTGCGGTTCATTCAGTAGGAGCAGCAGATGAGCTAAAAAACAGGCAAAACAATGGAGGAAGGGAGGGACCATTGACAGTCCTTCCTTCCTAACTGAAAGCAACGCAGTTGGTGCGCGGATCCCATCCACTACTACTTGCTACTGCATATAATCAACTGCCCCATGCCATTTATTTCTTGCCTTCTCCAGCTGGACATGCAATTACCTCCCAAACGCTTATGGTAAAGCTGCTATCATCGATTTTCTCTGATGATATTATGGAATCGAGCGCCAGGTCAGCAGTCAATGTGGGTCCCTTATTCAAGTCAGTTTGACCGCACCAGGGCTGTAATTATGACTGCTCGGCACGATGCAATTTATGGGCCCTGCTGCTTTGTGATGGGCCGCATGCGTCTTTCGAAAAATAAACAGATGGAAAATCCCAGGCCCGTTCTTTAAATGCTGTCTCCTCTTCTCTTCAAAAAATGAAATTAATAAATATTTATGTATATAGTTCTATGAATAAGGTGGTCCTTAGTAATTAATAAGCCCTGTCATTTTACTATAACGATTTTTGTAGATATTTTTTTTTTCTATTTTATGATAAAGGAAAAGGTTATTAAATTAATCGTAGAGAATGACCCTAATATAAGATAATGATTATTATTTTTTAATTATTTCCGAGCTTGTCATGGGATATTATTAGTGATTGTGATTTTCTTGGATGTGGACGGATGAAAAATTAATATGTGGCTAAGCTAAAGTTTAATAATTTTGAAAAGAAGGCAATGATTAATATCCTAATTATGGTGTAGATTACCCACTGAACTATTATTTAGCTTTAATCATTGAATAAATGAGTCACAAATAATTTATTTGCATTTGAATTGTTTATTTATTGAATAAATATATATATATATATATTTAAAAAATTATATAAATTATGTAATATGTTTGATGTCATTTTATTTATATAAATATACATGTTTTAATATGATTATGCATGAAAAAAAATATTCATATTTAACATTTAAATAAGTTATATTATTATTAAGCTAAATTTGAGCTAATTATAAAATATTAATATATATTTTTTAACATTCATATTCATAACTTTCATAATATGTGATATTTCAATATTATAATTATTGAAATTGACTCATAATGACTCAATATTCTTGTGAATGAATTTATGAGAGATTATATATATAATTTTTCTCACTTAGCATCTAACATTTTCACTTGACATCATCTGAAACTTATTACAACTCAACATTTTTTTGCTTATGCTAACCATCAACATCCAACATTTATCATAAACTTGTTGGGTCTATCTTCCTATCAAAAGTGTGACATATTTGACCATCAATCCTCACCCAATTTTTGACATTATTTATTGATTTTTGCTAAATACTTGTCAATTCCTTACATCCACTAGTCACTCATATCGGACAACCATCTTAAAGGTAATTCATTTTTTGTCTTAGGCTTAATTTGGGACGTCTTTATTACTATATTTTAAAATATTTTTTCAATACCAAAATTAAAATTTTTATAATATGGAGCTATTTTAAGAAGTAATAAAAAAGCCCTTCTAAACAAAGCCTTAATAAGATAATGTTAATTGAGGGAAACACCTATAGTACTTGCCCTATGCATGATGTTTTCAGTGAATGTTGCCTAATGCTTGACAACAATCAATGCTTAATACTTGACATATTGATAACCTGATCTTTTCCACTATTAGGCAAACAATTGAGTAAACAATCCTCCATCATTTGATTACAACGCAGACATCTTTAGACTCTACTTATTTTCATCATATGATATATCTTTCACAATTCATATTTTTTATATCATATTTACACTTTCTTTAATTATGAAAAAAACTCATTTTAACCCTTGATTTTAGTTAACCTATTTTCACTTGAATTAGCTCGCTTAATTTTTTTTTCTTCCTAGGTTATCCACACTCAAAATATTAGCTCATTGGATCCCCTCTTAGCTTATTTGTGTTTAGGGTTTATTTTCATTAATTATAAGATAATAAACTGTGTTATATATTATAGAGAATATTCCTTCACGGCTTCACATAGTGAAGTCCATATGAGGACCATCCCAAAATAAAAACTACAATGTAAAGCCTTAAAATAGCACCCTACTTTGTCACAATGTATAGGAATATAAACTTATTAATGATTAATTGTGAGTTAACACACAGTCAATTTAATAGACTACTCATAATGATCAAAATTTGATGAGCTAATAAATCATATATGATTCATCCCCCGAATAAATTCACATGCTTGTGATCTAATTTATTTAAAAAATATTAATATTAAAATATATTAAAAATTAAGTTTGAATAAAAAGTAAAAAAAAATTCATAATTTTTTTATAGTGAAGAAATTGAAAATTTATGGAATTTAGCGCAAATTTAAATAGTATTAATTAATGAAAGTGAAGAACAATTCAAATTGGCGCTACACATCATCTACATTGTAAGAGCCATTCGAGAAGGCAAAAGGCCCGCACCCCCACTCCAAAATCTTAAAAGTAATTACTCCACGAATAAATTTAAAAATGGGATAATTCCTCGGCATGCTAAAGAAGATATAAATGAACATTGGAGATTGAATAATAATAATATGATTACACAGTATCATCATTTGGCTTGGTGGGCCCACAATGTACTATTTCTTATATATTTATTTCAAAAAATAATTTCTGAAGATGTAGAAAAGAACAACGAAAACCACGGAGCATCCAACGAAGCCCTCCAGCTGATAACCCGAAATGGATAGAGAAGAGAAGGGGAGAAAGGCTCCAAATTCCTGCGACTAATGGCCACCAATTATATTGGCAGATCCTACATATATATGAAATAATTCCCTCTAAGTTTTTTTCTTCTTCTTCTTTTCAAAACCTTATATAAATTTTCTTTGAAATTTTTTATTTTATTTCTAAAGAATTAATCATATCTTAATTATTCTTAGATTGATATTAAAATTGATATAATTTTTAGACATCATAAATTTTAATATAAATATTTTTTCATTCAAAAAATGAAAAGAGTTTTGATGTGTGGGTATTAATATAAAAAGATCATGATTAATCTTTTTCTTTCAAGATTAGAGACTGAAAATTAAGATGATGGACATCATGATAGGAGTTGGCCGTGAGTGTCATTCTTGATAGTAATAGTGAGCATTGACATTAAATTGTAGACTAACATTCACCACGTTAGTGATGTTGGCTGCCAACACTGATGATGATGACTGACATATTTTTTATTGATGATGATGATGGACGTTGATTTTGATGTTGAAGACATAAGTTTGCCTTATTGGTCATAATGAGTGTTATCTTTGATTTATATAAATATTCTAATAATGTCTTGATAATGGTATTAGGAATATGATTTTAAATTTTACATCAATTTATTAATTTTGAATAATCTCATTAGATTCACTTAAAATTCATCAATTTTGAATGAAATTTAATTAGAAATATTCAATGTTAAAATATTTTTGATAGAACTCTAATAGAAGGTTCACTTTTTTTTTTATTGATAACATAATATAATTTTATATTATATAATCATCCTTGTTTTATCAATAGAATTCATGTTGAATGGTTGAAATGGTGGAATGCATCGGGCTTTTTGTGTGATAGAAAAGTCCCCTCAAACTTAAGAAAAAAATTCTATAAGATGGTTGTGATACTTGCAATGCTTTATGGTGCCGAATGTTGGCCATTAAAAGAGAAGCATAATACTAAGTTAAGTGTTGTAGAAATGAAGATGCTCAGGTGGATGAGTCGCTTTACCCTTAGAGACATGGGAGGAACCCCATTGGGGTCAGGGGGGTAATTGCCCCCCCCCGGGGGGGTATTGCCCCCCCCCCCCCCCCCTCCTCTCAAATTATATATATATATTTAAATTTATATGGTTTTTTAGGTAATTTGTTCCTCTTTATCCATTTTTTATTTGTATTAGACAATTGCACCCCCTAGCCTTCGAAATTTTAAAATACTATGATCTTTAGATAATTGCCCCCAACAGGTCGAACCCCGCCAAGAGGCGCTGCCCCCTTTGACCCCCGACATATATGCCTTATAAGTTTGCTCCCCCATGAAAATTAGGGATGGTTCCTTCCCTGCTTAGAGATACTGAGATAAGAAACAAAATGAGCATATACGTGAAAAGGTTGGAGTAGCTCCATTCGAAGATAAGATTATAGAGAGTCGTCTTAGATGGTTTGGTCACATAAAATAACGGCCTTCTGATGACCCATTTAAGAAAGTAGAGGTATTAGATTTGACTTATGTTAAAAAAGGTTGGGATGGATTTAAAAAGACTTGGTTAGAAATCATATTTCTTTATTATATTTAAACGAGATTTTTACTTTTAACAAAACACAATGGAGAAAAAAAAAAAAAAACACAATGGAGAAAAAAAATTTATGTAGGTGATCCCATATATTGCGACAAAAGCTTGATGTTGTTGTTGTAATCATCTTTATTTTGTATTTTAAATATATACATACATAATAACTAAAATGTAGAATTAATGAAATCATCACAGCTATATCGTCTACAATATATATATTTTCTTAAAATGAGGAAAAAAACTTTTCATTCATATATATTAAAATATTTTTGCTTTATCTCCAACTTCAATTTTTTTAAAATATGTAATATAAAATTTGATTAATTATTCATGTATTATATTTATATATATTTTAAAAAAATTTAAGGAAATTTAAATTTATTGCGAAATAATAAATATTTTTAATTTTTTTTTGGGTAAAATATTTTTAAATCTTGAAGTGAGGGCAACAAAATAATTTCAAATAATTTATATTCGTGAGAAAAAATCCCATTAAATTCACGCCCGCCACCAGACTCAGATCAGATGTAGAGCAGCAGGACGTCTCAGTCTACTCTGCACTGCACACACATACACTCTCTCTCTCCCTCCAACCCCCTCTCTGTATTAGAGAGAGAGAGAAAACGGCAGAGGACGAACAATGCCATTGCCAATGGCATTACCTATCCTCGCTGTCGTTCTCTTCTGCATCTTCGCTACGCCCTCGGCGGCGGAGCTGGCCTCGGTGACTTCCGATAACGTCGCCCTCCTCGCTATAAAATCTGCGATCTCAGACCCTGCCGGCTATTTAAACGCATGGAACGATTCGTCCCCTCACTGCTCATGGAGCGGCGTGGCATGCGACAGTCTCGGCCGTGTCGTCTCCCTAGACCTTACAGGCATGAACCTTTCCGGCATCCTGTCTCCTGCCGTCGGCGAGCTGCGCGAGCTTCTAAAACTATCCACTGCCATCAATTCACTCTCCGGTCCCATCCCGTCGGAGCTCTCCGGCGCTTCCAATCTTCGATACCTTAACCTCTCCAACAATATCTTCAATGGCAGTTTTCCTTCTGCACTTTCCCAGCTCAAGAGCCTACGTGTACTGGATTTCTACAATAATAACCTCACCGGCGTCCTCCCGATTGAGGTTATCGAGCTTCGTAACCTTCGCCATCTTCATCTCGGGGGAAACTTCTTCTCCGGCGTCATTCCACCGGAGTACGGCCAGTGGGAGTTACTCGAGTATCTCGCGGTCTCCGGCAACGAGCTTAGCGGGAGGATACCGCGGGAGATTGGGAATCTCACGCATCTCCGGCAGCTTTATGTCGGGTACTTCAATAGCTACGAGGGTGGAATCCCACCAGAGATCGGGAACCTCAGCGAACTTGTGCGGCTCGACATGGCGAATTGTGGCCTCACAGGCGAGATCCCGCCTGAGATCGGGAACCTCGAGAACCTCGACACGATTTTCCTGCAGGTGAACGTCCTTGCGGGAGAGCTTCCGCCGGAGCTCGGCCGGCTCCGAAGCCTCAAGTCGATGGACCTTTCGAACAATGCCTTCACGGGTGAGATCCCGACGTTGTTCGCTGAGCTAAAAAACCTCACGCTGTTGAATCTCTTTCGGAACAAGCTCTACGGCACTATCCCGGACTTCATCGGTGATCTACCGAAGCTTGAAGTGCTTCAGCTCTGGGAAAACAACTTTACAGGTAGCATTCCGAGGCAGCTAGGCAAGAATGGCCTTCTCCAGCTCCTTGATCTTTCTTCCAACAAACTCACCGGCAATTTACCTCCGGATCTGTGCTTCGGTAACAAGCTACAGACTCTAATCGCTCTCGGGAATTTCCTATTTGGTCCGATCCCGGAATCCCTAGGCCGATGCTCGTCCCTAAGTCGTATCCGAATGGGTGAAAACTACCTTAATGGCTCCATCCCGAGAGGCCTTTTTAGCCTTCCCAATCTCGCTCAGGTTGAGCTGCAGGACAATCTCCTCGCGGGCGGATTCCCCGACACCAGTAAATCCCGGATCTCTTCCAATCTCGGCCAGATCACCCTCTCGAACAATCACCTTTCTGGTCCTCTCCCTTCCTCCATCGGTAATTTCTCTGCTGTCCAGAAGCTTCTAATAAACCAAAACCTCTTCTCTGGCAACATACCGCCAGAGATCGGCCGGCTACAACAACTGTCTAAAATAGACTTTAGCGGTAACATCTTTTCCGGTCGTATCACTCCGGAGATCAGCAAGTGCAGTCTCCTTACCTTCATAGACCTCAGTAGGAACAATCTGTCAGGTGAGATCCCCGAGGAGATCACTGGAATGCGGATCTTGAACTATCTCAACCTCTCCAGGAACCACCTCGACGGCAGCATCCCGCAATCTATATCTTCGATGCAGAGTCTAACGGCCGTGGATTTCTCCTACAATAACCTCTCCGGCCTCGTTCCAGGCACCGGCCAATTCAGCTACTTCAACTCATCATCCTTCCTAGGAAACCCAGAACTCTGCGGACCTTACCTTGGCCCCTGTCGCTCAACAAACAATAACAAGTCAGGCCACGCTCACGGGCCTTTCTCCTACTCCTTCAAGCTCATTCTTGTCATTGTTCTCCTCCTCTGTTCCATTGCGTTCGCCATCGTTGCCATAATCAAAGCGCGGTCTTTGAAGAAAGCCAGTGAGGCCCGTGCGTGGAAGCTCACCGCATTTCAGCGCCTGGACTTTACCTGCGACGATGTGCTTGATTGCCTCAAGGAGGAGAACATCATTGGAAAAGGTGGTGCCGGCATTGTATACAAGGGGATTATGCCCAACAGTGAGCAGGTGGCAGTGAAACGATTGCCTGCAATGAACAGAGGCTCTTCTCATGATCATGGTTTCTCTGCCGAGATACAAACACTGGGTAGGATCCGGCACCGGCACATTGTAAGGCTGCTTGGTTTTTGCTCCAACCACGAAACTAATTTGCTTGTTTATGAATATATGCCTAATGGGAGCCTTGGGGAGGTTCTACATGGGAAGAAAGGTGGTCACTTGCACTGGGATCTCCGGTATAAAATTGCAGTTGAAGCAGCAAAAGGGCTCTGTTATCTTCACCATGATTGCTCTCCGTTGATTGTTCACCGTGATGTGAAGTCAAACAATATCCTTCTTGATTCCAACTACGAAGCTCATGTAGCTGACTTTGGTCTTGCCAAGTTCTTGCAGGATTCCGGCACTTCTGAATGCATGTCTGCAATTGCTGGTTCTTATGGTTATATAGCTCCAGGTATATTTCTCTTTTTTTCTCTTTCTGAAATCGGTATCTTTCTCTTCTTTACTGCTTTCATTGGCATTAACTGTAGTTTTTTGAAGTTCTAGAACTGTTGATCTTTTAGGAGCTGTTTGGGAGATTCTTGAATTTTATGCGGCCCAGAAAAACTTATGATATGTCATTACTCGATTAGGTGGATTAATTGAGGCTTTTTATCCTTTATGGAGAATTTACATAGATACCACGGAAGTTTTATGTGTTTATAAATTTAATTTTAAATACTTATGTTTATTTTATAACATTATATTGTCTAAATAACATCAAAGATATTAAAACATCAATGACATTAAAAAATTTCGATAAATAACATCTTAGCGTCTAAATAATGTCTTAGCGCGTAAATAACATCAATGACATTCAAACGTATTTATGAATAATTATTTTAGACTAATTACTATTAATGATATTTTTGATATCTTTTAAAAATTAAAATATTATATAAATAAATATGCTAATTTAGGTATTAACTTATAAATAAATAAAATGGGGGCAGCACGTAAATCTCCAACTTTCTTTTAGGAAAGGTAAGCAAAGAATTCTTATGCAGTAAACTTCAAACAAACGTCATCCTTAAAGAGAGTAAAATCCTCAATCATTAAGACAATAGCTGCCTTCTTATTGAAATCTTAACAAAAGTATATCGCATTTCTTTATTTTTTTCGGGCCACCTAAAAAGGCAGGCCCAAATGATTTATGGTAAATTCAATAAAACGGTTTTTTGAGCCTCCGCCAAAAGGGATGTAAGCTAAGGTTAGAATTTATCCAATCCTGCCCTAAATCCTGATTTAGTATAACTTGATGGAGTATTTAAGGATTTACCACAAGAGAGATAAGAGGATTTAAGGATTTGAGACCGAGGAATATGATAGTTTAGTAAATTTTTTAATTGCATACAATTTTTTTTAATATGATTTAAGATACTAATAATCAAATAGTTTTTCAGGATCTAACGCTCATAATATTTGCTGAATTCTACAGGATTTGCATTATTCAAATTTACTTGAAATCCTATTTGCTATCGAACATCCCTTTGTTAAGACCCAAACTCTGTTATTTACTAAAGGCTTGCTAGACATTAAGAAAAATCTGTGAAAATTCTGCCTATTCTTTTTGAAATTACTGGCATATTATTTTTTGTTTAATTGTCAGTATTTTTTAGAAACTATTTTCTCAACCATGATTTTTATTCTCTTTCATGCAAGCAACTTTTTCTAAGGGTTTGATTGGGACATTTTTTTGTCAGCTTTGTTTTTCAAATCACAACAATGCATATTTTACTAACAATTTTCTTATTGTATCTTAGGAAGTTTTATTGTCTAATTTTTTTTCTTTTTGATTGAGCTCATCATCCTACATTCTTAAGGTGCGGCAGAGTTTGGTAATTTATTAATCCCAAAATTTACAATTGAGGCAAAATATATTTATTAACTCAGATCCAATTTTTACCCAAACAACCCTTAAACCCAGTCTTCACTTTTCTAACAGCCATGTTCATGCATGCAAAAGCGGAACGAAACAATAAACACTCGTTTGCGGCAAAATATTGCTATTGCTTTACATCTTTGCTCTTTAGCATCTTCTGTTCTGCATCTCTGCCATCCACTCTACAGCGCTTTGAAGTTGTAATTAACTAATTAAGATTCCTGAAAAGTTGGCCAAAGGAGATGTCTGATCAAGTTCAGCCAAACTAAATCTTTTCTTCTCGTTCAATCTTCGTGCGATTAGAAACTTCAATCTTTCTCGTAAGTATATTTAATTTTAATGAATTTCCTTCATACTAATTTTTATTGCTTCATAGAATACGCGTACACTCTGAAGGTGGATGAGAAGAGTGATGTGTACAGCTTTGGCGTGGTTCTGCTTGAGCTGGTAACCGGAAGAAAACCAGTTGGGGAGTTTGGCGACGGCGTTGATATCGTCCAATGGGTTCGCAAGATGACAGATTCCAGCAAGGAAGGAGCTTTCAAAATTCTCGATCCTCGGCTTCCAACGCTTCCAGTTCATGAGGCAATGCATGTGTTCTACGTCGCAATGCTCTGTGTGGAAGAGCAGAGTGTCGAACGGCCGACCATGAGGGAGGTGGTTCAGATCCTTACAGAATTGCCAAAGCCGCCGGCAAAGGCTGAGGAGGAGACACAGAATGGTTCTTCCGGACGGCTGCCGGCTTCGGAGGCAACTGATGATGCAAATGCTAAAGAAGTAGATCTGTTGAGCATTTGAATGTGGAGTGGGGAGGCCAATTAAACTAGCTAGCTGCATTGATATGAAATTAGCTAATAGGATGTTTGGTTTTCTCTGTGGTTTGTAAAACAAGGTTTTTAATGTGTTTTAGGGAAGGTATCTTTTGAATTGATGTATAGGGAAGCATTTGTTGGGTTTTATTGGCTTAAGAATGGACGATTTAGTATGCATGCATGCAGTTTATTGGCGGTTTCTTGTAATTTATTTCTTTTAGATCTTTACCACTGCTGGAATGTGTTTTTGTAGCTGCAGTAAGTAATTAGTGTCTTCTATATATGTTCTGGTCGTCAATGGAATTAAGTTTGTTCTTTCTTAATAGTATTATTGAAATTATAAGAGTGTCTCAGAATTCATAATTCAAATGAAAATATGTATTTGAATTATGATGAGATGATGAAAAATTCTATAGTTCCTGCATGCGTCATAAATTAAGAATAAAAATATTGAATGAGAGGCTTGGAACATATGTATGGATGATTATAATATTATTTATACAGACTAGTAGTATTCTCCGTATTTAAAATAATATATATATCTTGTAAGTATCTTCCAAGTTGTGCTATTCTGATCTGCCACTGTTGATTCGTCTTTTCCCCGATCATTTTTCTGCATATTTAAGTTATCCATACTTTCATATTCCTTTTGCTGTATTAGATCTTTCTTGGGACGTACTCTTATCTTTTTACTATACCATTCCCATTTTGCACTGTAATCTTTCGATCCTTTTTTTTAAAAAAAAAAAAATTAATTTGCTTTTATTTATTTATTAAAATATAAAATAATAAATGTGAATGCCACAATGTTAAAATAACAAAATAATGAGAATAGGGCTCTTAATGAATGGCCATACACATCCACTAGCAGCTTATATGCAAATAAATATCTCATGTCGACTTGTCCCCTAAAAAAAAGTAAAAGAAGCCAAGCTTTCAACCCATTTTAGGCTAAAGACATAATAATTCCTCGTTTAGCGCACTAATTATGAATTCATGTGGCTCCGGCCTATGGGTGGGATTAAAAATTTCAAAAAATATTATTTAAATTTAAGCTTTTTTATTTATTATTATTATTATTATTTAAAATGGGTTATTCACTTATTGTCGCCCCTGAAAGGATGCTTGATGACGTGAATAATCTTCAGCTGATCTTGAAGAAGCACCCACCCCAAAAATCTCCTGACCCGCACTTGATTGTGCCCCACTTAAGAAACGCTGTGGCTCGAGGGGAATCTAGTACTAGTTGGGGGTTCTCAACCGTACTCGCCCACCAAACAAGCTAAACAATAGTTGATTTTTTTATTTTTATTTTAAAAGAATTTTTTCAGTCATAATTTTAATTTGTTTTTTTTTTCAATAATATTTCAAAATAAAATATTGAAATAGCAATTTAAAAAAAAAAAAACTTCTAAATACATTATTTTTATTTACTTTTTTATTTTTGTATCATAATAGCAGTAAAAAGGTATGATAATTTATAGCTCAATTATAAATCAAATATAATACATTTAAATTATTATAAAGTTAAAATTAGATTAATTCAAGATTGAATGATAATTAACGCCTAACTTTGAGTTTAATGTTGTTGATAAGAGGAATCGAATGGATGGCCATTCAAGTAACATGATTGGTCTACGAAATAAGATAAAGACCAAGAATTCCTATCATCCTAGCCGTTTATTTTTTTCTGGCTACAAATATGTGGCAACAGCGCATCTTATCAAAAGCAATAATGCAAAGAATAAAATAAATCTGTCGAAGAAAAAAAAGTCTACTTACCAAATTCATTTTAATAAATCTTCTTTTAATAATTTATTAAAATAATATAAATCAATTTTCAACATGCATTGAATTTAAAAGACTGAGATAAGCATTGTTCTCTTTGAAATAATTAAAAAAAAGGTGGTGTTTATGAAATAAAATAAAAAAATATATGAAATTGAAAAGACTGTTTTGTCCTCTTTCAAAAAAATAGACGCCAAACTGCCAAAGTAATAATAATAATAATAATTATATGTATATTTTTAGAATTTGATTTGGACAATTTTAGCATTTAGTGAAGCGAGACAAAGCTTTATAGGTTGAAAGTCGTTCAACCCAAGCTGGAATGCTTTGAATTGTTTCGATTCAAACAAATCATCATATGACGTTCTACCAATAAATATTAAATACTTAAGTTTTATATGAGACGATTTTTTAAAGTAATTTTTTTAGTAAAAATATTTATTTTTTGACTAATATTAATCTGTGGCTCATTAATGAATTGCCATTTTAAAAATCCCGCCTGAATTTAAAAATTCCCGTCCATGACTGCCGAGCCGGCTCGAGCTCGTTAACAGTGACACGAGCTCGAGTTTGAGCTCGCTTTCTATCTAACGAGCTGAGCTCGATAAGGGCTAAAACTCGACTCGACTCGACTCGTTTACACCCCTGGTTCAATGCCTTCAGACTGTTTTACAGTTGATGTATATAGCTGCTACTCAAGTTCTTATATATTTATTATATGTTTCATTTTTTTTAGGTAAACAACCATAATGAAAAATGTATATTAAAGCTACAATTTCTTCACATCTGCCTCCGTAGTCTCCACTCACAGTTGTTCATCATTTATTAACTACACTCACATTGCTTTTTCTGCAAAATTCACTTCACCTTTTCTAAGAATCTAAGGATGACAGCACTGTGAAGGCATCCCCCCCAACTCAAACAAGGCCAAATGCATAAAAACAAGGAAGAACACAAATTAAACAAACAGAAAAAAAAATGTGACAAATTCATCCAACCACTTTATTCCTCATGCTTGCAAGTGCCAAACCTTCTATTTAATATCTTAAATCAAATAGAAGATTAAAGGGAAGAAACAAATTATGTCACAGGAAAAAAAGAAAAGAAAAAAAAAGATGAATAATCAAATAACTCAGTTGTAAGAACTAAATGCATGAATGTGAAGTTTGCAGGCAGAAAAACCATTCCATCTTCTTCTGATGGCTATATAATTCTGAAAAGAGAGAAACATTCAGTAATGCAAATGCTTGTCAAGGGCCCCATTATTCTTTTCTCTTACATTTTTCATTTTTTCTGTTATATAATTTTGTTACTTACTATATATGTTCGGAATATGATGATCGAATAACTCTTTTTCAAAAATGTAATATGATTTCTATTTTTGATAAAAGCTCAGTACCAATTTATGTAAGTTTGTGGGATTTAGGAGAAGACAGGTGGGGCGCACATTCCTTGTTTTCATACAATCAAGTATTCAAATCAAGCTCAACATCTACCTCCAAACTTTATTAAAAGCAAAAGTGTTCTTTGACTAATTCTGCATGTGCTGTTGTTACCTCTCTATATTTTTTCATATTTTTTTAATTATAATTTTGACTGTCTAAACATAAATTTGATATAAGAGAGATTCAATCTCAAGATTTTGATAATAATTTTAAGTAAATTTATCTACTAAATCAACTGGTACCTACTGTTACTGTGTACTTCCTTTCACTTTCTCACTACCATTGCAAGTAGGGAAGAAGATATAGCTTTGATCACAATCTCCCCTTCTACAACTAACTACATGAGCTTCTTTCTTTCCTTCACAAGACAATAAGATCAATCATAATTATCCTAGTCTTAATCTTTCTTAAAGTTGGCTACAAAGAAAGAAAAAGAAAGAAGAAAGGTGATTTGGCCATGTGAGCTAGCATTATTTCGCAGGGAAAGTTGAAAGGAAAGCCAAATGCAGATAGCTTTCATTGTGCATAATATTCATTGTGAGTGTTCAGTAATCAGAAATGTATAATAATAGACAGTTCAGCATACTGTATTTCGTGTGCATCTTAGCTCATGTTGGAAGAATAAAATTTGAAAACATTTGGTACAACATCATTGTCACCATGCTGTGTGTGCTTCAATGACATCATGGTGGAGGATATGGAGATTGCCTTTATGTCACACCTATATTGTCTGCATGGAAGGGGCCAAATAGACAGAGATTCCTATACTAAGAACATTTAAGCAAGGAAAAAAAATCTAAAATACTGTGCAAACATGGACAGTATTAGGTGTCATTTTCAGTGTGGACCAAAGCACAGTGCCTTGCTCAGCATTTCCTTACTGTTTGTTTTCCAGTAATATAAATTTAAGATAACAAGTTCACAAACCATACATATAATATTATCATATCTATAAGAAACATCAATATTTATAAGATTTAAATTATGATTCATTATCTACATAACATGCTCATATATTTACAGAAAATTATCCTTTTCAATAAATATTATAGAATATCTAGAATGAATTTCGACCAAAACTAATTGATATGTTCTTAATTTTATTCATTTGTAATTGTATAATTTTTTTTTTCAAACTTCGTACTTCAACAAAAGAAGATTTGCATTAAATTAAAAAATATATAAATAAACATTTAAATTAATGGCAGATTTGAAATTGAACCATGTTCCCCTATTGGTAGATGAAAGGGTAACTAAATCAACTCAATTCAGAACCCAGTGGTGATAGCAGTGCATCTGATCTAAGCTGCATAAGAGATCACTATTTCATGTATTTACGACTGAACGCAATATGAAAAAAATTATTTGAATAATGAATATGTTAATGTTCTAATCTAGAAACTTTAAGCATGAGAAACTGCTACTACTGTTCCTATTAGCTAATCAACCTGAACACAGTAGATAAATTACAAGCCAGAAAAAAAATCCTGCTTAGTTTACTAGTGAGGGAATTCCCAAAAGCATTTCAAGTAAAAATTAGCTTTATTATAGTTATAGTTAAGTTATTGCATTCCCAAAATTAAATTATATTTCTTTACAGCACACAATCCACTCAACGCTGTGATGCACTCATGTTAAAGCCTTAAAGCATGATTTAAATATATGAGAAATCAAATGATTGTACAGGAGCTTAATCATGATCCAAACAGTACAATACATTTATAGAACAGTGACAAAGCTGTCCTATTGTTGTAGTTCATCTATTTGAGTTCATTCTAGTTGAATAAGAGTTGCAACATCAACAAAGAGCAAATCTATTTTTTTCCGCCTACTTTACCATTTCTTCTATCCACTTTACCAATTCACAATTGCTTTAATCATAAAAAAATTATTTTTTCATGATCTTATTTTCAATAGGTGATCTTATAACTTTTTTTTTTTAAACTCTGAATATTCTCATTTCTAACAAGCCCATTTTAATTTCCAATAACTTAATTTTGCCAATACTATAAAAATATATCACAATGTGGGCTCCGAAAATTCGCGCCTT